CATTGAAAACTAAGCTTTAAATACAACAATTAAATAATGATGACAATTCGATAATAATAACAATTTAATACAGATATAAACTAATTAATTAAAAATTCGAATACCTATTTTCTAAGATCACTGATGATGAGCACTTGGCAATTCTCGAAACAAAGTTGTGTGGTCAGCCAAATATCAATAAATTAATCTAATTTTTGTTGTCGTTTCTTTATTATTGTTCGAACGCAATTGTTTACTTATTTTGTAAACTGTAAAGAAACCATATATAGGTATATATATATATAGTTTTAATTAGATATATAGAATTATATATAATATATATTTTTGAGTTAATTGTCAATAACTTACCGGAACATAGCTGACAATAGCTCAGGTCTATCTTGACATATGTTTATGAAAGGCTGTCATCCAAAACTGGTAGCGACTAAAAATAGTGTGAAAATGTCCTGTGCGATTCAGTAGTTGTCACGTTAAGCAATTCGGTGTACAGTAATACCCAACGATGATAAAAATTTAAGGGACTTTAATGGTTACTCTTCTAGAGTAGCAGCCAATTTTATGTATTCTAATATTTTCGAGACTAAGACAAAAAAAGCATTCCTTCGATAATAAAATATGCTTAATAGTGTTAAATTCTGATAATCAACCAACTATATTTAAAGTAAAAACTCTACAGATAAACCAGCTAAATATCTGTCGAATTCGGATTCCAGATCAGTAAAGAGTAGCACTTTAATTCATTGAACTTTAGATAATCCAGCTCAATATTTTCACTAGATCTGCAATTCAGATTTGAGATCACTGAATCATGACACACTAGTTGGTTCAACACTGGAATATTCAACTCATTATTTTCACTAAATGCCTATTTAATCATTTTTAGGTTATTATAGAACATTCTTGTTGATTTCTGATGTAATGTCCCGGTTGAGTATGTTAGATCTTTAAATATTTATTCATATAGTGTGTTTATATAAGTGTTTGATGGTAATTATTCTGTTATATATTTATTCGACAACTGAAGTGAACCCTATTCCACGTCCATGCTTACGTAAATATAGTCCACTATATATTAAGCCGCTCTGCTCAAATCTCTATCCTTTGATTACTGAAACGAAGTTTCCCCTTTGCTGTGGAAATCTTCTTTATTCATTCCTAAGAGGTGGCTTAAGTGGGTTCAAGTTTTACACTGTGGCTTTCGATGCTTTTCACCTACCAGAAAAAATAAATCTCACACACTCAGTGGCGTATTAAGAAAAGTCAAACCAAGGTTTAGGGGAATATCCTCCACTTGATAAAATAATACTAAATACAAACAATTTACTGTACTGCTAAAGTACACAAGAAAAAATTTAGTACGACTGACTTTAGTAATAATTCTGACTTCATGTTTGGAGACTATGGCTGCCTATATTTATTTCAGACTTTAAAACTGTATATTGAATATTTCAGAAACTTTTTAAGTAGAAGTCGTATAACTTCTTTCATAGAGTAGTTCTCAATGTTCTTCTTTTTCCGTAACATGTTTATAATACTTGAAGAGCCAAGCTTTTTATAATTGATGCGCTTCATTTTTATTGCTCTGTTGTTATGGGCTTAATCAGAAATACCTATATTGTTGAAGACGCTTCATTTTTTCTTCGGAAGTGGAAAATATGTCTTGCAATGTTGCTGAGCTGTTGTCTTTCATTGTTATAAATAAATAAATAATATTATATAAATAATAAATAATAATGAATATAATATGTGAACTAATGTCAAATTCTTTGTATATAAATTTATATATAATATATGTATAAATTTATATAAGTACTTGGACGAATCATTTAGTTGAAATCATGAAATTATATTGGAATATAATAACTGTCAATCAAAAGCGCATCCAAGTGTAATACAATTTATAAGATCTCATCTAATATAGTTTTATTCCATAAACGCCTATGTGCGCGGCATATACTAATATTGCAGCTACTGAAAGCTGCTTAAATATTCAAACCCACACATTAGACCGATATCTTCTTAATATTGAAATATAAATTGATACCCTGTAATTATAAGTGAACCGACTAAATAAAAATGCTAGTTTCGTTTTTTCCTTTGTATCTACTACGTTAGCTCAGCTACTAAATATTTTTGATTGATGTCCACCATTGAAGGAGCGTTTGCTCTGTCAATCAAAAGATCAGCGTTAAATCAAAAATCAAAGGCAAAATGCTTTATGAGTTTAGCTCGTGCGGGGCACGTACTGTTCAAATATTAAGAAAAAATCACACTAACCTTGCCCACAGACTAACTGCACTTTTACCATTTTTCAGTTTGTGATGCCGCTGATGGACTTCATCAGCCACGCAGCAATTTAAGTTGAAAAGTTGAGATTGTCGGCAAAAGCTAACGCCATGATTTTAAAAGTGATGGATTATAGTGAGTAAATTTTTCGAAATTTTTTTTATTTTTTTGAGATTTTTTCAAATTATTTTGTTCGGCTCTCATATTTTTTTAAATGCTTAATTACTGGCGCAACAATAATTTCGACCAACTTGATAAAATGTTCGCAGTGATCTCTTCGAGATAAGATACTTTCAAAAATCGTGTTTACAAATGGAGACTCATTTCCGTTAATGCTTTAGGCTCAGTTTTGCAAGTTTCTTCAAGAGTTTCAAATTTATTTGAATGTATTTTAAACCTAGATGGTTGTGATTTTATTTTATTTAATTTTATTTTATATTAATTTTATTTAGATAAATGTATTGTAGTTTCACGGGAATATGTGCCGTCAACTGGAAAGAAAAAGCAAATAATCCATTTCAATGGGATGCTAATGTTTAATAGACTTTAAAGATTATCACGTTAAGGATGATGTTGATGAATTAAATAGAAACAAAAAACTTCCCAATATCCATCATTAGTAAACATTGGAAATATCAAATACAGTGATTCCCGACCTTTTTTTGACCAAGGTCCATTATGATATATTTGTTTCAAGTAGGGACCACAAAGTTTTAGATGATTATTTTAATGTCTTCTATACAATTCTGGTATAATGTATAATGAATTTTATAAATGAATTGGTACATTATATAGGCTATGAAGTAAATACAACC